AAGGAAGGAATAAAGGAAAGAAAGAAAAGAAGGAGGAAGAGAAAGAAGAAAAAAGGAAGGAAAGAAAACTAGAAAATGTCAGCTTTCTAGTAAGTATAGTATGCATCTAATCTTAATTTCTCTGAATATTTAGATTGCTCTTCATTGTTCTAAAGGTGAAGAGTAGTTCTTGTGTTGGGTTAGGTTAAAGAGATGACTCCTGTACTGTCTAACCCCCAAATGCAAAAGCGCCTTTAGGTCTTGCAGCACTATAAATATAACCATCATCTCAGAGGATGCTGTAGTTTCCAGCTATTTGCAGAACATTTACCTCTTCCCCAAAGTACAACTGTGAAGTCTTTCTACTCTTCATTATAATCTTATTACACATTGTTTGTAAGTCTAAGAATGTATCATTAGGTGAATGAAACAATAAAATGTAATAGAACCTAGACTTTGTAGGCAGGTTTTCAGACTGCGCTTATTTTCCTGTTGGAAGGTTATTTTATTTGTAAGCTGCAATCAAGAGATTGGTGCTGCCAAACAATCAGAAATACATGGGACATCCTTCATCTTTTTTCCACCTACCTCTCTCCAGGACTCTTCCATATGTCTCATTCCCACATCTTCCCACTACTTTAGATCAGTGTCCATCTTTTCTAAAATATCAGATTGCTTTTTATTTTGAGGTATTTAGGGAAAAATAAAAGTAAACTAAACCATAACCAATACCAACTTGGAATGTTATTTTAACATTACTGTGTCAGTAATGTTAAAATTTTAACATTACTGTGTCAGTAATGTTAAAATAAAGATTGATGTATGGGCTTTTTCTATACTACAGCCTACCTACCTCAGAGTATTACATCTTACTATATTTTTCTCTTCATAATAAAATCTCTGTCAGGATAACTATAAGTTCCCATTGAATGTTCTCTGTACAGCTCACTAGCACCATTTTATTGTAGGTTTGAGCATCCTCATCCAAAAATCTAAAATCCAAGATGCCCCAAAATCTAAAACTTTTTGGGTGCTGACCTGATGACATAATTCAGATGATTCAGTGTGCACTGACTTTGTCTCATGCATATTAGGAATAATCTGTAAAAATTACCTTCTTGTTATGTGTATAAAGTATGTGTGAGACATAAAAAAAATTTCTGCTTAGATTTGGGTCCTATTATATATGTACACATAGTCCAAAACTGGACAAATTGTGTGAATATGCAGTAGTCATTGGAAAAACAAGAACTCTGAAATGCTTCTGGCCTCAAACATTCTTCTATAGAAGAGATATTCAACTTATTGTCACACTAGACTGATAGATTTTGGTAAGGCACAGATCACCCTAAAATTCCGATAGATTGGCAATTATTTTGTAGATTAAACACTTGTCTATTGGCTGTTAGGAAATGGGGCATTGTTCAGGTCTCATGCCACTTAGGCTCAGAACAATGATGCCTTCAGTATCATCTAGCTCTCACCTGAAACCTCCTGAGTCTAGCTTGTGCTTCCTTGTTCACCCAGGCAAGTATAAAGAGCCAGAGATTTCCGTATCTTTTCTATCAGCTTTCAGAAAGACATACTTTTACCTGCATGCCATCTAAGCAAAGAAAAGAAATACTCCTTTTTTATTAAATCCATATTCTGTAGTCTAAAGTTTAATTTAATATAGTTTTTCTACATATTCCTTAAGTGCAACTGTTACCTTGTCATAAGCAATCCTCACATATCTTTAAAATGCATAGCACATATTGCAGTGACTTATCAGGTAAATTTAAATACATACACCGGCCCATTGACTTTTTGTTCTGGAGCCCGTGATTCATAATTATGTATAAATACTGGTAACATAAATCCTTTAGATTTGCTACACTCTTAAATGTAAAACCAAACCTTTGTTTATCTGTACAGGTAGATTTTGAACTCTTGGAGAACATTTAAATATGAAGAAAGTTGTTTCTAGAGGAAAAGCTTTTGTTCAGAGTTCTAGCCTTGAGAAATACAAGCTCCTTAAGAATGTTTGGAGGATTGATACAGTACTAAGAACCCCTAACTAGTCAGTTTGAGACAGTAAAGAATTATTTGTTCTTCTACTAATTTATTAATCTACATTGTCATGGGCAGTGTACAAAGGGTAGGTGAATAGATTTGGTGTTTATATCTACAAAAAATCTGTAACCTCATGTGTTAGCAAACTGTTGTTTATCGTAGACTCATATTCTAAAGGGATTTAAGCATTCAAAGGGTTTGAAAAGACACATTTACATTTAACACTACCCCAACCTCCTTTTTCTCTGTAAGTGCTAATTCAAGATAATAGAATTATTTAGTGAATAAAACAAAAATGTGAGTCTAAGACAAACAGCAAATTTTAAAGGTATAAGTAAGCTAAAGAATAAACACCGGGAACATTTAAGTAAATGCTTAAAGCTTGAGCAAATGGAAGGTGAGATTCTTTGCCTTGAACAAGCAGGTAGTAAGATAGAGAATGCAAAACAACCTCAAGTTAGCTAAAGTAAATACCTAAACAGGTATTTAATACTTTACAACTCTTGGTATGGTTTTGGCTGGTGGCTATTTCAGAACAGATTGGTTCCTGCCTAGGAACAGGTCTTTCCATTGAGTCAAGGAGAGTGCAGACAAGAGAAGGAAGAGAAGCAGGAAGATGCTGGGTTTGACAGGACTCATTTGGTGAGGTGTGAAGCATAAAAACTCATCCTTACTTTGTAGTAGAAAGTACAGTGATGCCAAATGATTAAGAAAACATTAAAAAAAAAAAGCTAATATATGGAAGACCCAACTGTGCAGGTGGCATCCTAAGTGTCTCTTAAATAGTAAAATGTTATATCTTTATACAGTCCTTTGAATTAGAAACTCTTATTATTCTTGTTTATGAATGAGAAAACTGACCTGTAGAGAAACAGTTTGCTGAATGTCTCCTTGCTGGTAAAATAGAAGAGCTGACTTTTTCAAAAATGATAGGCAGACTCCAAAATCTTCTCTCCCATGTTGATTTATGCCTGTAACCCAGCACTTTGAGATGCTAAGGTAGGAAGGAGAACCATGAGTTCAAGGCCTGCTGGGTTATCTAGTGAGATCTTGTGTCAAAAATCAAATCTGTCCTTTTAAACACTCTATCTCATTGTACAATGTACTATGATGATATATCTCAATCTACACTCTTTCACCTCATAAATAACTAATCTGTGCCCTTCTTTTTTTTGCATGGTGCCACATTTCCTACTCCCTCAAGGAGCCAATGCCTTCCTGGGCTTTTCTTCTTCCCTACTCTTAAAACCTACTCTGTGGAAAGAAGCTAATAAACTCATTCATTCATTCACACCAAGGTATAAATGACTGATATGACTTGTTACAAAGTAATACTCCTTTAGGGTTGAGTCTCTTAGGGGAGCGGGGTGGAAAATGTTAAGGGGCCATAAAACTTTAACCCAGACCTCGAGGAGATGTAGGTATAATTTATGTATATATTGGTATGGGAGGATGAGTAAGCTGGATAAATTACCATCTATACTATTTTGATTACACATTTGTGTATCTGCCTTATAAGAATGCTTGTACTAGAAATTAAGAACACAAAAGTTGGTCTGAGAGGCTAAAAAGAAATATTTTCACTATGTACTCAAATGTTTTAGGAAGTCTCTGTATAATTTCCCTAATTCATTATCTGGTGGAAGAGATCATTATAATCCCAAAAAACAGACCCCATGAAATACCTTTGATTTGCTTACAATCATGAATGAAATAGGGTGGGTTATTCGTGTATCTATATTTGATGTTCCTTCATTTCATATAGGCATAGTCACAGATAGATCTGTGATTTATCTTCTCTAGGAATCTTACAATATAGTAATATCTCCTTAAACTTATCCTTGATACCTACATCTTTCTGTACTCTTCATCACTCAAATCATGCCTTTTCATTTCTTTCTTTATAAGATTCCACATGTATTCCAATTTGATTCTGTTCAGTAAACACGGAGTGCCAGATCTTTGTTTTGTCTCAAATGTCCCATCTTGTAGGTGATACTATATATAACATGATACAGGCATGTGAGTTGTTAAGTACAGAGGCTTGCTCTGCTAGAGAAGGTGAAGACAATGGTATTTGAACATGGTTTTCCTAGTATAAAAAGGCATTTGTTAAAATAATGGCAAGGATCAAAATAGTCCAACCTGAGGGTAAAGCAAATACAGAAGTATGGAAACACAATGTGGCCTGGTATTTCTAAAATGTATGAGACTTACATCAAGGAGTATGGAAAGATCTACTTTGTTGATTTTCATTGTTAGGAACGTCATATGCCTAGAGAATCAACAAGTTTATGTTCATCTCTGTCAGTATGTGACACCTGACACCTAGCCTTTTATATAAGAACCTTGCTGAGCACTTGGCTATGTGCCACTCATTGAGACTTTAGCCACTGGCTGCTTACTCCTGAGTGTCTGTGTAGTTTATATCTTCAGTTTTTTTTTTATGGCAACTGGTACAGTCTTCTTTGAGAATCATAGGGGAAAAAAGTGACAGCTTTTATTCAGAGCTGAATTGCCTCATCCTCTGTAGTGTTGAAGATCTGGAGCTAAAGTAGTAACACAAAAATTACCGTGTTATTACTTACTGTGACTAACAAAGTACTAGTGCTAGTTGGTCAGAGTAATTCTACAGCAGATGCTTGGTTCAGTCAGTGCACTTTTCTGCTGCCAGTATAATAGTATGGTGTTGGGGAGACAGCAAATAGTGGAAGAGAATTGGAAGGGAAATCCTCCTTTTCATGTATGAAAAGTTTACTTAAAATTACACCCATGCACTTTTTGAACTTAGTTCTCCTGGCAAGAAACATTACAGAGAAGTGTTTGTTCGGTTCCTTCTGTTCATCATGTCATTAGAAAACAAAAGGAAAGCTTTCATGGAGAATGAGTGTATTGTCCTAAAAGAAAGTTACAGAGAGCATACTGTCAAAATTATTTTTGTATTAATTTACTTGTAACTTTTTTTTAAGGATGCTGGGCAGTTTTATGCAAAATACAAGGAGACAAAATTGAAGGAAAAAGAAGATGCATTGGCTAGAATTCACATTGAAACACTTCAAAGTGAGTTTTAAATATTGTTTACTTTATTAACAATTTCATATAAAACTAATCAAAATTCAAATTTTCCTTTAAATTTAACATTCATTGAATTTTCTGTATTTTCAAATGGAGTCACTTGTATTTACTATATTACACATGAAAAATACTGCTATTGAGCCACACAAAATCCAGTATCAGGAGAGGTGAATTAACCTGAGGTCATACAACTCAAGTTGAAACCATTCAAATCTGCAAAAATCAATTATCTTTCAGTACTAAAATTATGATTAATATTTAATGCTATGAATAACCAATATATTAATAATTTTATTATGTTATGTTAATAACCTATATGTTAATATTGTACTATAGCAGTGGAAAAACTTGGGAAAAATCATTTCTGTTTTAAAAACCTTTGTTTCTTTTGTAATATTGTTGTGTAATACAAACCTCCTCAAATAAATTATAAGACTATTGAAAAGAAGCTGGCATGGGGACTCCTACCTGTAACCCCAGTAGAAAGTTGAGACAGAAGGCATACTCCTTGAAGACCATGAATTACATATTGAGTACCAGGCCAGCCAGAGCTCTACAGTAAGATCCTACCTCAAAGAAATAGAAAGAGGACTGCAGAGATGGCCCAGGTTTTGACCACTGGCTTATCTGACAGAGGACCACATGGCAGTTCAGAGTCATCTGTAACACCCATTCCAGGGAGTCTGAATCTGACACCCTGGTCTAGCATCCACGAGTATCATGCACATGAGTGGTGCACAGCTATACACACACAAGGAAAGTACCTATATGCATAAAATAATAAAAAAAAGTTTTCAAATTTTAAAAAACAAAACAGAAAATATAAGAATGTTCAATGGAACACAAAAACATTTCTTGACTTTTTTTTTGTCCATCTTTCCCACATGTCCATGGTTTGCACATGCTGGTTATTTTATTCACAGAAGTTATCACCACTCAGCAGAATTTATTAGTTCTGTTTATATCTAGTTTCTCCCAGTAGATATAACTCTACAAATGTTAGGACTTTATTTTGTTCACTGTTGTGTTTCCAAGACATAGTTTTTGTTAGGGGGAGTTTTTCTGTCACAATTGTTCTTGTGCCTAGGCAGCTTTAGAAGAGGAATGGTTTCTTTTTCACTTTGTGTCTACAGTAGTGAGCAGTGTCCTGGCACACAGTAAATGATGAGTGGCTGAGTAGATGAATGTCTGTAACCCTGTGAATAGTAGTGAATGCCAGCTGAGCATCTCTATACAGTACCCTATCTCAAGAAGCATGTAATTCAGTTCAGAAACTTCTAACTGCAAAATGATACTTAAAACTTGTTGAAAGGAGGCTGTTTGTTGGTTTTCAGCTTCTCAGCTCCGAAATAATCATACAGAAACTATATAATTTAAATCACTGCTTGGCCCATTAGCTCTAGCTTCTTATTGGCTAACTCTTACAGATTAATTTAACCCATCTCCATTCATTTGTATATCACCATGTGGCAGTGGCTTACCAGGTAAAGTTCCGTCTGGCTCCAGCAGGGCTATATGGCTTCTCTTTTACTCTGCCTCCTTTCTCTCAGCATTCAGCTTAGTTTCCCCCACCTAGCTCTGTTTCTCTATAGCTCTCCTATAGACCCAAAGCAGTTTCTTTATTAACCAATGGAATTCACAACATACAGAGGGGAATTCCACATCAAAAACTGTATAATTATTTAAAGTAGATGCCTTTAAGAAGAATCAAGATGATAGAGGATTGTGTATAAAGGTTGCTGTGTGTGTTGGGCAGTAAAAGTAGACAAATGAAACTCAATATGTAATTTTCATAAAATCGTTACTTTTAAATAAAGTTAGCATTTTTAAACCTTTTAAGTGAGTCAGAAGGTAAATGAATCTGTAAGAAAATACAATGTCTTAAAAGTAATCCCAAATTTACCTGTTAAGGCAGTAGACGTTCACTACATTTGATTGCTTTCTTCTTAGCTCATCATTTTCATTTAATTTTTACAACAAATCAATCAGTAAAATGTTAGAGTATATATTGAAATTGTTGAATAATAGCAAATTAAGAATATATACTGCCCTTATGAAAATTAGAGGTAAACATGAAATGTTTATCACAATATGAAATCTACATTGGAGGTCTGTAAACATATTTTAAAATTTGTTTAACTGGATTCTGTTCAGTTAAAATTCCCAGGTTTAAAAATTCTGTTTTCTTATTTTGCTACTTAATGAAAAAAATTTGTAAAGAAATACGAAATTTTAAATAGACAAGCATCTGGAATTTCTTACTTCTTTAGTAAAGATATATGTAATAAACAACGTTATAAAACTCATAGCAGTCCATCATTAACTAACCTAGCATTCATATGAGGTTTGTGTTATAAAACCATCTTGGTTTTTCATATCAGTGATTTATTGGAAAAAGTGGGAGTATCAGTGTTAAGAACAGTAAAGAGGTATTACACTCACTGTTAGCAGAGTCAGAAACTGTCACATATTTTAAGATATAGTCTAATGGTTACATAAAAGGAATCTTTATGTTTGGTTAGTTGGTTCGTTTGGTTTCTCAAGACAGGGTTTTTCTGTTTAACAGAGCCTTGACGATCCTGGAACTTGCTTTGTAGACCAGGCTGACCTTAAACTCACAGAGATCCACCTGCCTTTGCCTCCGAGTGCTGGGATTAAAGATGTGTACCACCATACCCAGCTGCAAGGAATCCTTAATTTTGTCAACTTCATTAATCGTTTTCTGCATTGTACTGTTTAGAAAAGAACATACTTCTAAGAAATAACAGCCAAACATGACAAAATAAAATTTAATAAAATAAACCAAAAACTTGCATATCAAAGTTAGATAATGGCAACCCAACAGGAAGAAAAGAGTCCCAAGAGTAGGCACAAGAGTCAGAGTCCCACTCTTTGTCACTGTTAGAAGTCTCATAAAATAGTAAGCTAATAGCTATAATATATACACAGAGAACCTAGTGCAGACCCGTGTGTGCCCTGTGCTTGCTGCTCCAGTCTCCGAGAGCTTACATGATTCAGAGGGCCTTGTTCTCCTGGTGTCCTCCATCCCCTCTGGCTCTTCAATCTTTTTTCTTCATCTTCCTTGAGATTCCATGAGCTCTGAGGGGAAGGATTTGATGGGGAACTCTCATTTAGATTCTCTCCTCACATTGTCTGGCTCTGTGTTTCTGTATTTGTTCTCATTTGTTGCCACAGGAAACCTCTCTGAAAATAGCAGATACCATTAGGAATTATTCTTTTTTGTGTTTGTGGGTTTTTTGTTGTGGTTATTGATTTATGACCAGTTGTGTTTGGTTTTACCCTGTATCTTGGGACTATCTAGTCTCTGGTTCTTGCTTACCCAAGCACTGTCTGGTATGTGTTCCTTCTAGTGGCCTGAAATCAAATTAGACAATTGTTGGCTATTCCCACGAGTTTTGTACCACCATTGTCTTAGCATATTTTGCAGGCAGTACAGATTGTAGGTCAAAAGTTTTGTGGCTGGGTTGATATCTATGTTTCTCTTTCAGTAGTCTACAAATCTTGAAATAATTCTTAAGTATTTTATTATTTTGAATAGTGTGTAGGTGTGTGTATGTGAATGCAGGTGCATAGAGACCAGAGGTGTTGGATTGCCCCTGGGGCCGCAGTTACAGGCATTGTGACCACCACAGGATTCAAACCTAGGGCCTTTAGAAGACTAGTTGCTCTTAACTACTGAGACATCTCTGTAGCCTTAAATCAAATTTTAATAAAAACTTGAGTAATATTCACACAAGCAGCATCCAGATACTGTGTTTTTATATTAACTCATAAGTTTTCTTAATATGCCTCACAATGCTGCTAAAAAGAAAAATCTTAGATTTTTTTCTCTTGAGTAAAGTATAATTGATGTTATTACCTCCAAAATTCTTGTGCTTGTAGCAGTACTAACTATGTAGGCTTTATTGAATCACAGTTATTGGAGGGATACTGAGAGTACTTGCCAAATAGAAATCTTTGGGCCACTTAGGCATGTTTTCTGGACATATAGTTTTGAAAATACTTGCCTTTTAATTTATAAAATTTTGCCAAGTGCAAAATGTTGGATGGTGCAAACTCATGAATTATTTTAAAGCACAGAATTAAGTAAATATTTACTAAGCTTTTGTTTTGGTTTTAGGAGCCTGAATTTACAAATAATTTATGTTGTACAGCTTTGCACATTATGTCTATAGTTTTCCCATAAGACATGTGAACCTACCTTCCCATGCGTGGACTTGTTTTCACTATGATGTTGCTTCTCTGTATTGATGCTCACTGCACCCCTCTCCTTCATCTCAGTCCCTACATGCCTTCATATAGCCATCTGTTTTATAGAATATCCAACCTTGTAGAATAATCAGGTATGTGTGTGTAAACTTGAATAAATGTAAGAATATGTAGAAGCATGATTTTGCTTTAAAATATGGAATCATGTGCTTTTCTGATTTTTCTTTTGCTACTTAAACTTACTGACATACCCATAAAATTATTAATGTATCTCTGCTTCAGTTTGATTTACTATTTCTCCATGTAGATAAATACATCAGTAATTATGTAGTCGTGTCTCTTACAAGGCATTTACTGTTAACTAGTATCTCTATAAGCAGAAAATAGTCTCACACATACACACAAAAGCACATACATATGTGTATACGCCCATGCAATAACATTCAAAATTTTTATGCCTAGAAAAGGTTTATATATTTAATCTTAATAGATCTTCTTAGACTACTATCCCACAAGATTATAACAAAATAATTCACATTTCTAGAAAGAGCCTTCCCCTTGCCAGAAGTATATGCTACTAGATTTTTTTTAATTTGTACCCTCATAATAGGTTTTAAATCATACATGGTATTACTTGAATTTTCATTTCTTTAGTTTGAGAGTATTGGCTTTTTTCCCCTATTTTTTAAAAATAAATTATTTATTTATTTATTTATTTTGCTTTTTCGAGACAGGGTTTCTCTGTGGCTTTGGAGCCTGTCCTGGAACTAGCTCTGTAGACCAGGCTGGTCTCGAACGCACAGAGATCCGCGTGCCTCTGCCTCCCGAGTGCTGGGATTAAAGGAGTGCGCCACCACCGCCCGGCTTAAATTTATTTTTTTTTAAAGATTTATTTAGTATCTCGGTATTCTGTCTGCATGTATGCCTGCAGATCAGAAGAGGGCACCAGATCTCATCACAGATTGTTGTAAGCCACCATGTGGTTGCTGGGAATTGAACTCAGGACCTTTAGAAGAGTAGCAGTGCTCTTAACCACTGAGCCATCTCTCCAGCCCCTAAAAATAAATTTGTTAATTTTACATTCTGGCCATGGTTTCCCCTCTTTCCTCCCCTTCCATTTCCCCATCTCTTTTTTGTTTCCATCCCCCAGTCTACTCTGTTTCTGTTTAGGAAAGGGCAGGTCTCCCATGTGTACAAAACATGGCATATCAAATTGCAGGAAGACTAAGGATCTCCCCATCTATCAAGGCTGGGCAGAGCGACCTGTGTGAGAAGTAGTATCCCAAAAGCCTATAAAAGTCAGAGATAGCCAGTTGGCACACACCTTTAGTCCCAGCACTAAGGAGGTATAGGCAGGAGGATCTCTGTGAGTTCAAGGCCAGCTTGGTCTATAGAGTGAGTTCCAGGACAGGCACCAAAGCTATAGAGAAACCTTGTCTCAAAACAAAACAAAACAGAGTCAAAGACAGCCCCTGTTCCCACTGTTAGGAGTCCCCACGAAAGGACCAACCTACACAACTGTAACATAATATGCAGAGGTCCTAGGTCAGTTCCATATGTGCTTCCTGTTTTGTTGATTCAGCCTCTGTGAGCTGTGCCCATCCCAGGTTGGTTGATTCTGTGAGTTTTCTTGTGGTGTCCTCGACCCCTATGGCTCCTACAATCCTTTCTCCTCTGCTTCTGCAGGATTCCCCAAACTCTGCCTAATGTTTGGTTATGGGCCTGCATCTGTTTCCATCAGCTGCTGGATGAAAGACCCCAACCCTAGTCTCCATCTTAAGATGTTTTTGTGATCAACTAGGCCAGGGAAAAACAGGATATCTGTGGGCGGCAGAAGCAGTCTTGAGAAAAACACCCAGTCCTTTGTGTATCAAAACCCAGGGAGGCAGAAACTGGCTAAACTGGCTTAATTTAGACTTGTTTCTGTCCTGTTAGACTTGTGTTTGTCCTGATGTTGATCTCCCCCCATATGTTAATTTGAGTTGACCAATGATGTTGCTGTTGCTATGTTTCCCTGTTATGTAACCCTGAGACCCTATAAATAAATGCTTGCTGGAAAAAATACCAAGGGGGCCCAGTCTCACTGGAGTATTTGGTCCCCTGTTGGCGTCTTCGACATTAAAGAATCCTCTTGCTGTTTGCATCCATTGCCATGGCTTATTGAGTCTGGGGGATCCTTCCCTGAACCCTAGAAATTAGGGTCTTTCACTGGATAATTCACCTTTCAGATGACAGTTGGGCTAGGCACCAATCTAGACACGGGAGATGGTCAGTTCAGGCTATTCATCTGCTATTGCCGGGAGTCTAAGTCTTCCTTTTAGATTTCTGGGAGAGTCTCTTGTGCCAGGTTTTTACCTTACCCCGAAATGCTGCCCCTCTCCCCAGTAGTCTCAGTATTTTCCCCCTCTGTCGGCTCCCCCAACCTGATCACTCATGTTCCCATCCCCACTTGCCCTCAGTCTACTCATGACATCTCTGCTATTTCCCTTTCCCAGGGAGATCTGGTGTCCCTGAGTATAGGTTTCTTGTTTTGTGGTCTTGTGAATTTATTCATTTGGATTGCCTAGTCATGACCTTTACTACTTTTTCTCTTGGATTGCCCATCCTCTTATTTATAAAAGTAATCACCTTCTTTAATTTCTTTATTAATTTTCTGTTTGCCCTCTGTGTTATAGATACTCTTTCCAAATTTGTTGTCTCTTGATGTTAATGCTGTCCTTGTCTTTATTATGGTATTTGGGTTTGTGATATAAGTTAAGATTTCCTCTTACTTCATATAGCACACACATGATTTTTAAGTTAATCTTTGTAAGATTTTTGGAATTCCATTTTTAAAAATCTATTTTCTTTTCCAGATGGAATTTATTTTTATATAGCATTATAATATTGTGCTGGTTTTATTTCATATGAGTATTTAGTTTTGTTGGCATCCGTTGCTAAGCTGTTTTCCCTCTGAACTGAAAGGTTTATGGATTGTCTATTTTTTTTCTAGAGATTTGATGAGTTTTTTCTCAGTGGCATTGTGGACTCACGTGCACACAAAAATATCAGATGGTAAAAATGTGGTTGTGAGGCCAGGGGAGTTTGCAGATGAAAGAGAAGCAGCTTCTCAGTGTGGTCACTAAGGTGGAATGAAGAATACCATCTGTTGTCTGAAGATAGATGAGACAGTTTCATCATTATAGGAGCATCATAGGGTGTGCTGACGCAAACTGAGAAACTGAGATCACTACAATGTTGCTGTTACTTGTTGATGTCTGCAATCACCATAATATATGCCTTGTTGGAAATACTTTTTTTCTGAGACAGGGTTTCTCTGTAGCTTTGGCACCTGTCCTGGAACTACCTCTGTAGACCAGGCTGGCCTCAAACTCTTAGAGATCTGCCTGCCTCTGTCTCCCGAGTGCTAAGATTAAAGGCGTGTGCCACTACCGCCTTTTCTTTTTTTTCTTTTAAAACTTTTTTTTCTTTTTAAAACAAGTTTCTTTATAGCTATGGTTGAACTCACTTATAAACCAGACTGGCCTTGAACATATAGAGAGCTGCCTGCCTCTGCCTCCTAAATAATGGTTTTAAAGGCATATGTCACCATGAATTAATAGCCTTGGAAATATTTTTATGCAACATTTGGCTGATGTTCCCTGGTCAGATATTCTTTATAAAATATTGAAAATATAAATGTGTATCATTAATGTTATATGTAACTAATGAGAAATAAGGATATGATTAAGAAATTGAGGGTAGTAGAAATGGCTCAATGGCTAAGAGTGCTGTGGGGCCGCACACCTTTAATCCCAGCACTCGAGAGATAGAGGCAGATCGATCTCTGAGCTTGAGGCCAGCCTGGTCTACATTGTGAGTTCTAGGACAGCCCTAGCTACACAAAGAAACCCTGTCTCAAAGAAAGAATAAAACAAAATAACAACAAAAACAACGAAAGAATGTTTCCTGCTCTTCCAGAGGGCCCAAGCTTCCATTACCAGAGTCCAGGTTGGACGAGTCACCAATTGGCTGACCAGCTGACTGTTACTCCAGATCCAGGGCATCTGACACCCTCTTCTGGCCTCTGTGAGCACCTGCATATATGTGGCACACATTCAAATAGACACATACATATACACATAAATAAAAATTAATCATTAAAAAAATTAAGACACTAAATTAAAGCTCTTTCCATTGTCTGAAACAAAATGTTTTAATGAAAGGTACTTTGAAGACTAAAAGTCGATGCAAACAGATAGTGTGATCATGTCACAATCACATTGTCAGCATCTGAGTTTGTTATTAAATAATTTAATGATCAATGCCCAATAGAGCTTGTAGCTATTTACAACAAGCAATTCTGTCTTGATAAAATAACATGTTCTTCAAAGATTTATTCTATGAATACAGTGCTAGAATATTTTTAATTTCTTTTTATTCTGAACAAATCTCAATAACTGGTTCTTTTAAATATTCTTTTTAGAACAGAAGAAAGTTAAAGTTAAAAAACTGAAACCAGAATTTCCTGTATATATGCCTTTAGAAAATGCATATATTCAGTCTTACGATCATGGGACTTCTATTGAAGAAATAGAGGAGCAAATGGATGATTGGCTGGAAAACAGGAGCAGAACACAGAAAAAGCAGGTAATTAAACTTTTTAAAGTTGATTTGAAGAGCTGATGGACATCAAATCCAGAAACCAAGAAGCACAACCGTGAGCTGTAGCCCCACCCTGTAGATGTTTGATAGTTGGTTTGTGTGTTTGCTGCTACTGTAAAAGTTGGTTGGTCTGCCTGTGTAGCCAAGGCTAGCCCAAAATCTATTATCCTTTTACCTCTACCTCCCACATTCTGAGATTGCAGACTAACACCATTTCTCTGTGTGTAAATAAATGTTTACGCTTGTTTTAACTGAATAAGAAACCTAAAGTACATTCACTGTCGTTACACAGTTCAGAGAATTATTATAGAGTGAACTTGTTAACCATTGCAAAGAAAGGGTTAGAATAATAGCCAGCAAGAGAACTCAGAGGATAAAGCACTTGCTACCAAGCCTGATGGTCCAGGTTCAATCTTTGGAACCCACATGCTGGAAGGAAGAAACCAATTTCCGCTAATTGCCTTTTGTCCTATGAGCGGATTTTTATCTTTGTAGGGTAAGTTCAGAACCTGTTTTTCAATTTTCTATTCTATAGAGTCATTTTGGGAGCACTAGCATTAGTTTGTCTTCAGAGGTCTAGAAAACTCAGCAGCGCTGATTTATTCTGTTAGGAGTTCTCATTGCTCAGTGTCGTTGGATGCTTATCTGTCTAAGTGGGTTACATCTTGCTTTAAATGTTAGAAGGTCAGATGTGTCTGGAAATTGTCTTAGCTATTCTGAACCTCCTATTTTATGGGAATATAACTGTGTAGAATATTTCTTAATGATCCTCTGGATTTAAGTGGTACCTGTTAGAATTGCTGTTTCTCCCTAACTTTACAAATTTGGGTCTTCTCTTTTTCCTTTGGTTAGTTTACCCAAGTTTGCTAGTTTCATTTTTTCCATAAGCCAACTTTGTTTCATTGATCCTTTCTATTATTTTAGTATCTGTTTCATTGAGTTCAGCCCTGATCTTTTTTTAAAATTTCCTTTACTTATTTTAATTTATTCTACTTGAGATACATCACTAGGTTATTTGTTTGAGAATATTCTGTTTTTATACATTTGCTACTTCTCACACATTCTTATATATTGTTTCAATTTTAATTTAATTATAGGAATCCCCTCCATTTTTCAATGGCCTAGTTTTATTCAAAGTATTTTATTGGTCAAAGTATATTATTGGTCAGGCTCTATGTGTTTTGTATGATATCTGTATGTAGTTCTCTTGCTGTTAATTTTTTATAACCAAGTTCCATTATAATCTGATAAGATGCAACAAATTCAGTTTTTAAAATTGTTAAGATTTGATTTTATTTTATGTGCATTGGTGTTTTGCCATGGGTGTCAAGTCCCTTAGAACTGGAGGTACAAACAGTTGTGAGCTGCTATGTGGGTGGTAGAACTTGAACTCGGGTCCTCTGGAAGAGCAGTCTATGATCTTAACCACTTCTCCAGCTCTTTGTTCTGTTTTTGTCTGAATGGTCACTGATGAGAGTAAAGACTTCTACTGTTGTTGATTTGGTCTGTTTCTCACTTTATGTTCAGCAGAGTTTTATAAAATTGGGTGTTGCAAGTTCAATGTATGTATGTCTATAACATTATATCCTCTGATGAGTATTACCTTTATACATATGTGGTACCTTCATTTTTCTCTTTTAATTTTGGTTTAAAGTCTGTCCTAGTAGATATGAGTGTAACTACACCTTTTGGCTTAAGGGTTCTACTTGCCTAAAATATTATTTATCATTGTTTCACTTCCAGCTTTTACTGGTGAGGCAAGCTTCCTGAATGCAGCACCTTGTTGAATCTTTGTTTAAATGTAGTAACCCTGCATCTTTTACTTGGAGAATTAAAACTGTTTACGTAATTATTGTTGAAATGAATGGTTTATGACTTACTGTATTGACAATATTTGGTTCCCCCTTATTTCTCATTTATTTGCTTCTTTCACACATTTTATGATTGTGTATGTATTCTTCCTTGTCTTGGTCTTTTGATGAATCTCTGAGATCTGCTATGTTCTATTCATTCCTACTTTTGTATTAACTGTCTGAAGATTATAACTAATCAGCCTTGACTTTAAGCCTGGCCTGATGCTTTTTTATATGTTTCATCTAGTCTGTTGATGAGGGAGGCTCTGGTGTGTGTGTGTGTGTGTGTGTGTGTGTGTGTGTGTGTGTGTGTATCTTGTCTGTTGAGTTTTTTGCTTCCAAGATTTCTGTTTGATCTTATTTAAAACCTCTGTCTCTTTATTGAGTGTCTCACTCATCTGTATTTTTAAATTCATTCAGCTATTTATTTGTATATTTTGGCATTCATTTATATTCATAAAAGCCACTCTTTTAAAGTGCTGAGAGAGTCTGAAAGATCAAGGTTCCTCATTAAGTATGGAATCCACAACACTGGTGCTATTTCTCCCTGCAGTTGTTTTAGGGGTGAATAGACAGGAACAGTTTTGCTTGGTTGGAGCCAATTAGTCAGCTGGGGACTTTTACCTCCCCTGTTCTCTAAGTTGTAGTATCCCAAGGTTTGAGTACAGCTAAGGCCATGGCTAGAACAAGGCACAATTTCTCAGCTGAATTAATGAATTCAGAGTACTTGAGATTCCAGGTTTGATCACCTTACAGAAGAAGAAAATAAGGAACAACAAAAGTCAGAAATAAAGAAAAACTGAGAAACAAATAAGTGAAAACACAAGCAAATTAAATAAAGAAACATAGTAAAAATTAACATCATATAAAAGAAAAGGGTGCAAAATTGATATAGAATAACCTAGATGTTATAATGAATGTATGACTAACTTTTTACAAAGGAAGAATTGAAAGTATAGTCAGTGGTAGATGGCTTGTCTAGGCCCTGAATCCTGTTCCTGGCACTTTAATCAGACAATAGATAAAATTTCAAAAGGACGATGAAAGGAAATAAAGGGAAAGAGGAAGAAGAAAAAATTAAGTAAAAAGGGAAATAAAGTGGAGGAAGGTTATAAAGAAAAAATACTTTTTTCAGTTGAAGTTTTTTAAAAAATTCCAGCTGAGCTGGACATAGTGGCACACAGCTCTAATCCCTGCACTTAGGCAGAGGCAGGAGAATATCGGTGAGTTGCAGCACAGCCAGAGCTACATAATGAGACCCTGTCTTGACAAAAGGAAAATCTAAAAATTAGAGGTGGGCCTAGACTAGTGGTAGAGAGAGCACTTGTCTGCATGTGTAGGGCAAATAATATAGTAACACTTAAAATCAATAAAATAAAGACAATGAGAGATATATCATCATAGTATTGAAAGGTATAATGGGGATGAGAAGTTCCTGTGTGGGGGAGATGTAGCTACAGGATGTTACACTAAGGATGTTAGTTCAAGGCCACACTGGGCTACACAAATTTGAGTCTGTCTAAAAGAGAAATAGAGCTCACACAAAGGTGTTCCCAGTACTTGGGCTCCCATGCCTTTAATCCCAGCACTAGGGAAGTGGAGACAGGAGCGATATTGCTGGGTAGAGAGGGGAATATAAGGTGGGAGGAGACAGGAACTCAGTGTAGTCTGAGGTTTCGTAGAGTTTGAGGCAGTCTGAGATGCAGTCTGAAGACAGGATCTTCCCTTTGGTCTGAACATTGGTAGAGGTAAAAGATCACTCTAGTGCTGGCCACACTGCTTCTCTGATCCTTCAGCTTTCACTCCTAATATCTGACTCTGGGTTTTATTTATTAATGTTGGAGACCAAGAAACCCCCCGACCAAAAGTATCTTCCTCATCCTCTCTGCAAGAACAGCTTGCTGCTGAGCTCTCTGCAAGAATAGCTTGCTGTTGAAAGCATAATCAGCTGTGACACAGTTCTTGGAATGGCTTAACCACAAGATGTTCCAAAAGATATACTACTTACTCCTTGGCCTAGGGCGCAATAGTTTCCAATCCCCTCCAACCTTACCCCTCCCTACCAGAACCACTCTATAAGAATAAACCCCTGCTTGGAATAAACGGAACCTTGACGCATCTCAGACTGACTCTGTCAAGTTCTTTATAAGCGCTTGGTTCCCTTTCTCTTTCCCCCCATTCCTACCCAGGTGATCTCGAACTCGAGGCCCACGAATTACCTGGCCTGCTGGACGGGTCATATTAAGACCAATTAGAATTCATGCGACAGTTGACTATGGTTAGGCTGTGTTTTCCCTGGTGGCATTTAATATTTGTACCTATAGGGATGTGATTGTCAGGGCTATGACAAGTCCTTCTAACCAATGGAGTTTTCATAGACTGTGGAAAGCCTTGGACAGCACATCCTTAAGTTTTCAGTCTACATGACCTGTCAGAACTACAGCAATACCTTCTTATTGACTAAGTGGTCCCATTGGACCCTAGAAATACTCTACTTACTTAGTGTATTAGAGTTTGCTAGAGAAACAAAACTGATGGGATGAATCTATATATGTACATAAAGGGAATTTATTAGAATGTGGTACAGGCTGTGATCCAGCTAGTCCCAACAGTGGGTATCTACCAATGGAAAGTCCGAAAATCCAGTAGTTGTTCAGTCCATGAGGCTGTATTTCTCCTCTGGTATTCGGTATATGCTGGAATCCTGAAGTAGGCTCTTGTGTCAGTGAAGGAATAAACTTGGCAGTGAGAGCAAGGGCAAGCAGGCAAAGACCAAGGGCTTCCTTCTTCCATGTCCTTTATGTAGGCTGCCAGCAGAAGGTGTGACTCAGATTTAGGGTGGGTCTTCCCACTGGCAATGATTTAATTAAGGAAAATTTCTCACAGGTGTACCCAGTCACTTCAGTTTTAGCTCATTCCAGATGTGGCCAAGTTGACCACCAAGAATATCTATCACATTTGGAAAACATTAACTGTCTGGGGCAAGGGGCAATCAATTAAGGAGTGACAGCCAAGAAATTTCCGAAGCTTCAGCCTCTCCAGTTATCAACCTTGCTCCTGTCAAAGCCAGCGACCAAAGACTGGTACTGCTTCTTCTGTAGTGGATTCTCATTGACCATTGTACCTTCCGCT